TCACGAAGACCTGAGGGCTGGGTGGGGCTGTGGAAGATAACTAGCAAGTAATTTAGACAGGCAGTCTGCGGCGACGACCCACCACCAGCAGCGGAAACGGGGTAATTGCTGTGTGGCTTAAGTACAGGATGTGTTGCCGTGACAACGATAGCTGAATGTTCTATGGAGGCGGGTGACCGGTGCACTCAGATGGCGTGAAAGTGTTGGCTGGGTGTGACAGACCTGATTCGAAGTCGGCGCATAGACGGAGTCTTACCGCATCTTATCTGTGGACCTTCGTTGACGTCACTTGACCATAGCTGTTACAACTTAGTAAATCCGGTTACTGAGCGCAAAACACACACGCGGTGTGTGTGTCTGTCTGAGTGGTGGGCCGCCCTTTCTCAAGGGGGAGTGGAAGGTTGTATACAGAGGACGTTCCGTTTATCCAAGTCTTGAAACGTCTTGTCACACGTGGGTTATCCAGGAAACGTTGTCACACGCAACTCCACATAGCATGCTGGTGTGTGGAAATGCAAACGGGTTCTTTGGACCAACGAAAAAGACTCTGATTTGCATACGAATTTGGTTTTGACAGCGGACTTAACTGAGTTCAGCTGAAGAATCTCTTGTTTACGATGGTTTAAGTAGAACATGAAGTTGACGGAAACTCTGGGATCGAGCCTACCCGATGAGTCCCAAGAACCGGTCGTAGGGTGTCGAGGAATTTTCAAGCAACCGTATGTGTAGTGTGTCGCATCTAGGTAAATCAGAAATGATTAACACCACTTCAAGTCCAAGACCTGACCCCATCATCCCATCACATGATGAAACCATCTGAAGGATGTAAAAAAAATGGTGGCAAATGGCAAAGCTCCAAAGGGAATAAATTTGATTTTTGAGATATCGGTACTCCGATTCTGTGAACTGAGCTGTTGTTCTCCAAGTATTCTGTCACTAACCATTGGATAGATGAATCCCCAGGCGATATGACTTTTCGGGTAGTTATAGAACATACTTCGTCAACAAAAGGTGAGAGTGGCCCCAGTATCGTAGCTTGGGTTCCCGGAATTGTCCTACTCTTACCTTCCTCCCGCCTGTCCAGGATGTTAAAATCGTGGGAAATCTCTCCAAACCGCTGAACTCGATGTCGGATTTGAATAGAGTGGCGTGAGTGGCAGATACATGGGACCTCCTACATGATGTCGACAAAATCCGCTTGTCTTGGCAGAACCTTTCTCACATTCTGTAGATTGAAGACTGCTCTGGAAAGTGTCACGGAAACAAAGGACTAAGGTGTTTCTACTGCGAAGTGGCTTGAAATTCGAGAGTCTATCCGGTGAGCAGTTGAACCAGAGGCGTTCATATCGCTTTTCAAAGCGACTCAGAAAGGATACTGTCTGTTTGGAACGAGGAAAAGTTCAAATTAAGGACGATTCAGTCCAGCCGCATCTGAGACGGGTGGCGACCACCCAAACTCAGTTGTTCTAGCGGTTGCTCCGTATACCATCTTGATGACGCGGTGTGCTCTGGACTTGATCCAGCAATGCGCGGGAAGCAATTTTGAATACGGGACAAATTGGCGCGCATTGCAGTCAGCTCGGAGGCGCACACTTTTCCGGACATATTGATCTATGAGGCCAGTCAGGAGAGGAAGACAAAAGAATGCGATGTGGTCGAATCATGGAACGAGCAGAAAGCGTGACACGGCAATAAACGAATGCTAGCCTGGTGAGTGTACATATTGCACACCGGAGAACATCGGGAACGGAACTCAGGCGCACTTTAAGCATGGCACGCACATTTTACCAGGAACGAAAGGACCGATTTCGCTGGCAGTGTGAGGAAATTTGGGAACTTTCAGTGGAGAAGGAAATCGATGGAGAAAAGCCGAGAACCGTTGCACAGCGGTTTCATCCTTATTGGGAATCGTCAGCAGTGCGCATCTCACGAAACCCCAGCGAGTTTGGAACCCGCCAAGTCCCAGACGATAGTTGAAAACCGAATATATCGGTCATGAGTGCCTGAGCAGCATTGTGATTAACTCACACTTCGACAGGTTATGAGTTCACGAATCAAAGAAACCAGATCAAGCGGTCACGTGTTGACTAACTGGGTGATGACTCCTCAAATGAAACTCACTCCGTGTTGTGATCTTCCTTCTGGGCTACTTCATTTTATGGCAGTGTGGGAAGGATTGAGCATTTCGTTTTGAACTGATTCTCGGTCATTGTTCGCGCCCAATGTACTGCTCTTCATAACGATCGATAACGGAGCTTCAAGACTCTCAGCTTCAGCGGGGATGGGGTCACGTGGCGAAACTGTCAGTATTTCTTCGCCAAATTCCCTCGCCTGCATAAAAATGTCGTTCTTGACGGGAGACTCAACTGAATCTATTTGAATCTCTCGACGATAACGGTCAGTATTTATGATCACGCGTCATCCCATTCTTTCTGTCTGTCGCTTGGTATGGGAAAACTCAAATGACTGTAAGATTCTGATGTCCAACACGGACACGCTAAGAAAAACTCAGAACCCCAGGATGCGGCCTTCTGATTGAAACATGGGGCCACGTCACCTGGCCACCTGTTCGTACCTGGAGTTACGTAAGCGGAGGGTAACACAGGTGCAGAGTATGACGGCCAAAACGATCGATTGCTGACCAGGCCGGCGATTCCAATCCAGATCTGTATATCCACCTTTGTAAGGTCGGAGCGTCAAGAACCAAATTTTGGTGGACACCGAGACGGGGAAACTCCATTTTACGGACTCGAACGGTCTGGACATCGCAAACCTCACTGTCTGCTCAAGCGCTCTAGCATTGACAAAAACGTGGTTATCCAACAAGGACCAATCACAAAGCTTGTTGAAGAAAAACCATTTTGAACGGGTAACTGTAGCAGCTAGTTGATGGCAATGATGAGAAAGTGGTGATACAGGGATGGATGGGTAGTAATCAAGGTCAATGACGGAAACAACACTTTCCCCAATAGGTGAGTATCGTTCAGTATGACACAAAGGCAACCGTTCCCGGGAGCTGCGTACGTCAGAGTACCCGCTGACTTGACTAAGCTGAAAAGGCATTTATGCCAGGATATTGGTCCCTTGTCAGAAGACACCAAAGTTGACAGCTTGAATGTGATTGGTCAGAAAAATCGAAGTTTTCCGATAAATCGATCCATCAAGGGGGCGGCATGCCTTAGGGGTTAGATTGCAAATTTACTGTACGTAAACGGAGGGTACCACAGGTGCAGAGTATGACAGCGAAAACGATCGATTACTAACCAGTCAGGCGATTTCAATCGAGATTTGTATATCCACCTTTGTAAGGTCGGAGCGTCAACAGCTGAACGGCGATTTGAACCAAGAAGGTCTATCTGGTCAAAAAAGTAAATGTGCCATAAAAAACATGCACTGACGTCAAACTTACTCGTGTTCAGGCGCTACTATTATGAATACAAACAAGACTAACCTTCCCTTGCACGCACGGCCCATCGCTACGCTCCCTATCAACACACTGAAGATGTCATATCGATTGGTGATGAAACGTTTGCAATCAAATAGCCCAGCTCAGCGAACACGCCAATGGCAATTCGTGCTCTCTTCGTCCCAATGGGAGATCAAACCTTCTGCGCCCGCCGCTCACAACCATGCTAGCCAATAGTTTGCAACATCTGAGGTCTGCTGTACTTCCTTCCATTCGTTGGCCTTTCTGGTTTCACTAATACACGTGGGCGAATAATCTGCCTTGGCGTGAACCCTAGAGACATTCGAATTTGATGTGTTTCCCCTCAAAGACGGGCTTGTGTAACGGGAACAAAGCTACTCGCCTGATTCTTCACTTCAGCTGTGCGACTAACTTTCAGCCCCGGTTTCTGGCTGCCTCATCACCAAGGCGACAGGCTAAACACAGGTGTTTGAATGGCTTTGAATGACAAGGCTTATTTGGGTGGATTTCAAACGACAATCGATTATTCGGTATCATGCTTGATGGGCTATAAACACCACCCGAGAATCGTGCTCTATTTGTCAGTTCTACCGACGCACCTACTGACTCCAGCTTCGAAACGAAAAAAGATGAGCTCTGTGGATCGGCTTCGCCGAGCACCCCGGTGCGATATCATGTGTTTGACTGGTATAATGAACACACATGGAAGGTGTTTAGTTTTTCATCAAGTTCTTTTAGGAAGAACCCCCTTTGTTATGCTATACGAAGAAAATCGATCTCTAAGCCTCTGTTTAGAACACAACCCATTCCTTGTCGGTACCAGCTTCCGGAGTTCGAGACACCGACTCGCTGCCTGGCGAAATCAAGACATCATCAACACAGGCATGGATCCAGTTAGGTCACAGACGGTGATACTGTAATCAAGGCTACCGCTTCTACCAATCACGTTGTCTAAACTCCGAACATGCTCCGTTAATGATGAAAGTGTCACCACAGCTTAGTGGATGTGCCAAAGGAACTGCCACTGAGTTAGACCTGAGCACGAGATCGCTCAGTGATTGAACCGCGGAACTATTGATCGGTTCAAATTCAACGCTGGGTCTAGAGAACTTCTACCCGGCACCACATATGACTTGGCCAACAGAGCCTGCTCACTGAAGCCTATGTCCCATTCTTTCCATTCGTTAGAGAGGCAGTCATTCTGGACCCCACTGATCGATAGGTTCGAATGAAAGGAAGGAACATTCAACAAGGGAAAATGCTTCTATGGTTTAAACTAAGCAAATAACACCGTTATATAGAGCACTAGTGCGCAGGCTAAACCAGAGACATAGCCGTATGTTACCTTTCTGAATGACTACTGATATCCCATCAGTAGTAAAACTGTTTATCAACCACCATGGTTTAATTAGGCTGCACAATAAGGAATAGCTAAGCAGCATTCGTCGTTCAGGATTCCGAAACTTTCATAGTTTGGACTGGTTTAGATTTGGGGGAATCGGATGGTACGCTGAGTAAGAAAATGCATTCAGTCATCATCGTCACCATGACATCAACACATTAGTGTACGTACCATATCGAGGAATTGGTCTGCCTGAACACCCATGGTGCACCCAACTGTGCTGTCAACTGTGCGATTACGCCAACACTGCGGTGGTCGTTGTCTTGGCGCTTTCGTTGTACTCAGCGATCGAAGTAATTTTCTTCGTTGTTTATTACCGACTGCATCTCCGTACCCGCTGGTTCCGCTGGCAGAGGTACGGGTTAGCGAGACCCTGGTTTGGTTGACCGTCAACTTTCCTTCGTCCCCCGAAGTCACCTCCGGTGGACGGCGCTTCGACCGTGAGTGAGAGTTGGCTTAGGGGACAAAAAGAAGTGCTTTTGTAGTCAGGATTGGGAAGACGGATGAATAAAAAAGACACAAATAAAGGGCATGGAAAACTAGCGGAAAAAAACTAAGCGGGCAAGGCAGATCGAACGCGTTGGAGAGGGGCGAAACGCATTTAACGAGTGCATCAAACGGAGTGGTACTTGTTGTAACCGTTCGATCGAAGTTTTCAATTCAGCCTTCTAAACAACTAAGGAATCTGGCTTGTTTGGTCACTCAGGGATACGCTTTATAAAGTCGTTTCCGACCAATTTGATTAATACCACTGACAAGTAGTGAAATAAGGGGTGAACCTCTTCTTGAGTCAAACACCGACCGCAACACAAGGATGGATGCAGGATTCAGTTCGAAAATAGTCCTGAGCGGACTGCCTATAGTCCCGACGGAGAATAAGGAAAGGGGTTCTAACGTCATGTTTTAGCAAGCAAGGCACCGGCGGGGACAGATTTGTCAATGGTTTCCCTCCGAACTGTCAGCATGCTGCGCTCCTTTTAGATGCTGGTAGTCGGATGGCCCATTTAGGCGACCGGAACTATGTCAACTTGAGAGCACACTGCACCTTAATGGTTAGCCAAATACTTTGGAAGTTTCTGAAGTCACCTTGTTCTGCGGAACCTACAGTGTCACAGAGGCCTACCTGCTCCAGACGATTTCGTTGTGAGTGTGCCACAGTAGTCACGTGAGAGTCACTTGGCTCACAACAGACTTACGGAACACTTCCTAAGCCAGGTAATTCAATAGCTCCGGGGGGGGGGGGGTAGTTAAACAGTTAGTGGCGACACGGGATATACCACTGTGCGGTGCCCTTTACTCAAGACACATGTAAAGCACAGTTGGATGACCGGATCAGACTTGTCACTGTGCGGTGCACTTTACTCAAGCGTCTTACTCAAGGCACATATAAAGCACAGTTGGATGACCGGATCAGACTTACACCGATGCATTCTTGCCATCACATCCATTCCATCGGTATAACCGTCATCATAGTCAGGATAACGCGTTGAATCTTCAGCATGCGGATCAAGTTGGCCGCGGTGCATAGCGCTTCTCGGTTCCAGGTGATCGTCTTCGATTTCATTGTTTTCAGTTGAAGCCAAGGAGGTATGACTGGCGGAGTTAAGGGGCATTGTGTTGCCCACACCTGGTTGTCTTGACTCTGAGCCCCGCTGTTTCATACACGAAGCAGTTGAAGCCGGTTGGCGGGATCCAATCCAGGCATCTGATGAAAACAAAGTTGCAATCGATTTACACATTGATCTGCTTACCAATTTGGTTTTGACTTGCCTGGAACCCAGCTGAATCTCCCGTATATGATAGTCTTCTTCAAAATCGAACGTGAACTTTCAGCGACTTTATGAGTAGTGCACTACGTCTACAAAAAGTAGCAACTGCTTTAAACTCCGTAACGCTGACAGAAGTTGCAAACCCTAAGCGATTAAACGGTCAATGTTAGCTCGACCAACATCCGCCGATCCTAAAGAGTGACTGTTGGTGAGATGGCGGTTGATCTGCTGCGAAGCTTGACAATTTGCTCGCAAATGTTTCTTCAATATCCGAATAGGTATAATCGAGAAACGGTTAGAGCTTGAATTTACGGATCGGAGGGTCCGTGGTTCGAACCCGACCTAGGCCTCTCGACTTCCCCTCTCTAGGCTTGGGTGACCTGGCAATATCCCAGCCTTCGTGCTTCCTTCTGGTGGCATGGCAGCTAGGCACCGAAATGGTGCTACAGCTGAACGACGATCGTCAGCGAAAACCTGAGTGGACTTTTGCTTTCTCTCCGTTCGCGTTTATACAGCTATTAAAGAGAATAGTATGCATCTGACTTGAATGTACATTTGAAGGTTATCCTAATGGTGGCGCCTTGATGAAGAGGTATAAAGTACTCTCTAGAAACTATAAAGAAGTGATCAAAGAGAGAGGGAATATCCACGCGAGTGTGCAACAACGGTGCTTGATAGCAAGCATGCTATCAAGCTTGGTGAGCAGATCACCCGTCATCTGATTAACAGCTGATTAATACTCCCAGAAAATACTAATTATCAGTGATTACTCAATAATGAATTAATCAATTGATCGATTAATTAATTATTTAATTACGGTATCACGGAAAACTGACTTTAAAAGTTGTAAATTCCGCTTGCACAACGTCTGAAGGGACGTGGAGGAGTTGAACAAAACAGCATGGGAACGAGAGAACAGGTGAATGGAACTGCTCATCGATTGATCACAGCAGAAAAACAAACGGGAGCAAAGGCCTTAGAGTACCATTCGGTGAGCCCAGTCACCTCGACCATGATCGAGTATGATTAAGGCCAATCATTCATCCTCAGACCATGAAATACGGGGTTCGATGCTCAATGATGATGAAAAAGTAGGGTGTGATTTTTCAAATGTTTAGGAGGAACCTTAGTTTGAACAGCGAACACATCTCTTGGAGATGGCGGACTATCCAACGCAGATAATGCCAAAAATTTGATATTCGCCTAACTGGAAGCGAGAATGACGTGAAATTGACGGTTATCAAGATGGCGTAATTCGGAAACAGTGATGTGCATAAATTTAACGCCTTAGAGCAGCATGCGGTTCATTGCTGTCTACATCCGAGAAAAGACAACATCAACTAAGATGGCGATTCAAGATCACCAATAAAATGAAATTCTCAAGTAGATGTGCTTCAGGTAGAATACCAGGATCTTCAAGGTCGAACAGAGTGACAGATGCGCCTGCCTCTAAAAAGGCAGTGAGCCTACAAGTTTGTGGAAAGGGAACACAACAACTGCTGAAATCTTCCTCAAACTGGGATTCGAGGGAACGAAGAAGTGCCCCGGTCCTGTGAAATCTCATCCTCGAACGAGTCGAACAGCACAGCATCGTTGGCATAAATTGAAAAAAATGATAGATTTAATGATGTGGTTACATTTGACCCAGATAGTCATTATCATGGGGTGTCAAAGACCGCAGCAGGCTTTCAAGAAAAGGAGATGGCGTCCCAGTTCAGTGAATTACCAGCGAAAGCTGAGTTCATTTATCGAGCTCATCTGTCCAAGCTAATTGTTCGGACCATTGGATGAACATTGCGCGTTTTGAACGCACAAAACAAAACCAAAAAGACGATTTAGACTGCAACTGGTTAGAGAGTGGAAAGCGACGGTGTTATAGTAACTCAAATTAGGCGCACATCGGCAGATGACAGGCTGCGGACTCTCGCGTTTTATTGGTCATTCGATCCATATTTTCGACCAATCAGAGCTTGCCTCGATGTCGGCCCAGTCACATGTGCGTTAATCGGTAGTAGTTGCCGCAAACAACACTGTTTGTGTGTAAGACCATACCTAACAATTGGGTAGCGAATTCGGCTTGTACGGAAAGTTAGATAGCGAAATCAATTTGTAAGAAACGGCGCTGGTATACGGTGACCTTGCACGCCAAACAGCCGGACTCCAACGTGATAATTACCCAGTAAATTAGGCACGATGAGTCATACGTATGTCAGTTTCCAATGAGAGACCGAAAGTACCGGGAAAATTTTCCAATCGGTTCACAACCAATCGAAATAAGATCCATAATTTGTTCAAGGTTACTCTCGATAAGTTCAAACATATCAACGTTAATAAGGCCGGAACTGGCCAACCACGGATAAAAGGTTCATATTTTCTAGTAAAATTTCAAATGGTTCCAAGTAGTATAATCAAGTAGATGTGTATGGAGAACTCAGTTAAAGCAATTCGTCACAAGGATACTTGGAAATCGGGTGACTGTAGAGTGATTTCGCTGCTCCAGCGGTAATAAACCAATGGCTTAGGTGTGTTCAGGTGGAGTGGGTCCGTCTAACACAAATAGAAGCAATTTTTACTCTAGTTTCGCGCTAGTTGTTAGCGCGCTCGTGTTGAGACCATATGTGGCAGTCACATCGTTTTCATCCCCGGGGCACGCGAGTCTGTTGGAGAACAAATCTACAGTCGATAGAATAATACCGTTCGAATTGGACCAGAACCGCGCATTGATGGTTAGCCTCGTGTGTCTAACTGAAAATTACTCACTGAACAGGCATCTCACTTACCGCCTTGACCAGCAGCCGATTGCACTCTTTGGGTCAGTGCCCCAGCAACGCACACGTCAGACTTGTACTGAGCTGTCTCGATGCTCCGCCCGGTTCCCGTTGTTCGTGAGCTGGGCGTAGATGAGCTGGCTGAGTAGTGCATCGATGGGGAGTTCTGTGAGACGAAAGTCTGCTTGGAGTGGAGAACGAAAGATGGTTGCTAGGCAAAAGTCTGGGATTGATTTGCGGAGCAAGACAGACATTAGAGTCTAGGTTGTTAGCTGTAGACGATGCGCAAAATGAACGGTGGTTATCAATCTGTTCGGTGAGCTGGGTAAGGTATTTGCAAGCGTTTCATCACCGGAAAAGGTGTGCTGTTGAAGAATGTGCGTGTACTTCTTGTACGGAATGACCTTGACTTATCACTGGTCAATTGGATGGTCCTGAACAGGCCAGCAGATCAACTGGGCAAGAGCCAGGGCCCTCCTGAGGAGACAATCGTGTTGAGAATCATCAGCAGTGCACATTCCACGGAACTCTAGGAAGTCTCGAACCCGCGACCTTCTGGCCAGTGGGTGAACACTTGAGGGGTTTTGCCGCGAGCGGGTGGTCCACAGTGTGATTAACTCTCACTTAAACAGGACAGAGCACCACTTATCTTTCAGTAACGGAAACTATATCACAAGTGGAAGTATTGACTGGCTCTTTGAGCGCCTGTCGAAAAGTTTTCAGTAACCTAGTGTATAGTTCAACTATGTTTCATGACCAACAGCGAAAAGTGGAACGAGCTCAGAGCTGGGACACTCACCGACTGGGAGATCAGTTCCCGAGAGGCATTCACATTCCTGTCCACTACTGGGTGCGCAACCGGCAGCACATCTGCTGGGCGCGTACCGCAGGATCCGATCGGGTCGGATCCGTCACCCAGTGGTGTTGTGAATGGGACAGAAGGACTAGGTTCCTCGATCGAATCGCGCAGATGTGTCTTCAGGATAGAAGGTCCAGTGGAGAGAAGAAGCGAGTCTGGAGCAGGAACAGCTTTGAAGCCAGAAGGCGGAGATGTGACCTGTGAGGGGAGGGAGTGCAGCAAGTGAAGGGAATACAAAAAGTGCCAAGGTGTGTACCGAAAGACCACCGGATCTATCATCAACCACAGAAAAGTTTAACACAGGACCACTTATTCGGAATGTACCAGAAACACACAGAAGCCCACGTGCAAACTAAGATGGGTTTCATCCGGAGGCTCAACTCACTCCATCAGTTGTGGAGTTCTGCAACCGACAATGCTTCACCAAGACTGTTAGGGGTTCCAGGTAGACGGAAATTCAAGATACTACTTATAATGATCGGCAATTCATTGCCAATCTCAACTTTTCGCACAACCTACTGTAGGCCTAGTCTCTGACTTTCAATCGAAGTTTCTCCCCACTGCATTCAGTTGAGTGTCTAACATATACACACGCACCTCGCGTAATAAATCGATGAAAATTTGTGGACCAAACCTAACTGAAGGACTTTAAAAGGTCGAGAACAGTACTCGGCTGTATGGGACTTTTCGGTTGCATTGTAAGTCGTATCAAAGTCCCAATACATAATGTTCAAGGTCTGTCCAGGCCTTTATCCGTTCCGTATAAACCAGAGTTCATTTCACTGGCACTAAATGACTCCTCGAAAATTCGCATACCAGACCCAACTGCGCCTTCTTCTCCTCTTCTAAGATGAGAACGGTGTCGCTTGCATATTCCAGATCGACAAGGCTTTCTTCACAGGCTATTTGAACACCAGGGTTTTGGAGACCCTCCAGCGTTCGTCTCATTATTTCATCGATAAAGTATATGGATTTCCAACTGAAAGTTCATCCTGTAAGCAGAGTCACTATACACTGAAAAGCCGAAAAGCGCTGCACTGCTATCTCATCCCTCCTGGCAAGTAAATGACATCTTGGTGGCATCTGGATGTTCGTTGGCACTATCAGCTTACGGAACGATAGCAGAATAAAACATATATTGGTCGGAAATCGAAGCAAACTTTAGGTGCCTCCTTAGCGAGCTTGAGTGAGCATGCTGAGGGCCAGCTATTCCGATCCTATTCAAGGACACGCGCTTGCAAGCTCTACAGAGTTGCATCAGACATGTACCTGCTTATCGCAGGAGTGTACGTTTGTTTGTTTTGGTTTCACTCATGGTTCACACAGCCTAAGCGAGGAACAATAGCAGATTTGAACTCTTCTTCACAGAGGCTGAAATCGACCGCATGGCTGTCGTACCCAGTAGAATCTGACTGTGCAGTCGAAATTGAGGCCAAACAAAACGTGGAGGTATCTTGGTTACAAACTGACCTTGATTTCCCTAGCAGTGTACTTGATTCACCCGTAACGCGCGCGACACAAAAGCTTGACGGAACAGTTATGGTTCCCTTTATGGAGTCACATGGGTTCGAACTTACGAACGCAACTTTTGTGTGGGAGCACGGAGACACCCACAAGGGAAAGAAAACAAAAGCTGGGCGTATCCCTGAAATGCGACAGTCACCTGACTTTATCGAATGATTGAAAAGATGTATCGATTGTACCAACAGTCCCTGCGGTTCACTTTATAATACGGGATTTTGTGGACTGGTGGTGGGCTTTAGGAGAGTGTGTGTGTTTGACAGTTATCGACGGCCTATCCCCCAACAGGTGTTCAAACTAACATACACCCGTCAGTTGTGGCGCTCAGAAGAACCGTTAGCAAGATTGGCACTACCTACCGCATGTGTTTGGCCCAGTTTGGTGTTGGACAGGTGCGATTTAGTCGCACAAACGTTTCCGTCTTGTGGCGGTCCGACAGGGCGCTGACCCCGGGCTACGGATAGCTCTGATTCCAATCGGGCAATGCGCGACAATAGCTTGAAGTCCGGAGACGTGGCAGTGGACGTTGTTTCTGTTGTATTGGTTGATGGATCAGGGATAGAATTGATCAACTGATTCTGCATCGAGAGAGAATAAAAACAAAACAAACCTAAATGAGCGAAAGCGGGAGGAACATACAGCGTGAACGATCCTTATCCCCCCAAAAAACGTCATTAGGTAAACAAAGACTTTGCGGAATCTTCCGAAAAACTCGCCAAAGTTGAACGACCCTGGATGCTGCAGTGTTACAAGTATTTTTCAAAACAGGTACTCTTCTAAAAAGATTACCTGGAGGGCCCGAAGAGGATATGATGTCTAGTCAGCTGTGCTCGAAAGACAGGTCACAAGATGTTCATAATTCATCTCAGATAATAGACGATAATTGTTCAGTTGTAACACCTCTTCGGTGTCTAGCTGCCTTATCACCCGGAGGAAGCACGAGGGCTGGGATACTGCCAGCTTGCCCAAGCATAGACAGGGGACGTCGAGAGGCCGCGGTCGGGCTCGAACCACGGACCTTCCAATCAGTGAATCCGTGCCTTGAGCCATCTCTAACCTAAAACATACTGAATATGTTCAATAATTAGTCCACTAAAGGTGTCACGTGATCGGATTCGTGGAAATCGGGACTTATTTTAACCAGGTTCTGGCTTCGTTAGATAATCTGACAGCTGACTGGTTTGTCCTGGTGTGAAAACACCAGTGAAAAGGAAGAAGGCCTTCGCTGCGGAGTTGTTTATTAGAAAATGCCAACTGATCAGTAACAGACTATTGGACGGAAAAGCAAAACTCTCATATGCATCTTGTTTACAAAACTGAATGTCCATCTTCTCCTTGAACGCGTCTTCCTGAACTTTCCTGGATATTCATTGACTGTGCAAGAAAATGCTACAGAACGACTCCACGAATTCAGTACTAGATCTCACTTTTCAATAGACGCGAAGCGGATTACCGAGAAGACACTACTCGCATGCCTCGTTAGTAGTATCCAGTAGTGTCCCGTGTATGGTGGTCTTGTTCAACTGAATGTGCTGCTTAAAGACCGCCTCATGTTTCAGTCCGGACGATATTTGAGACACATTAGACAAAAGGATTACTCACAAGGATTTCCAAGAGTTTTCAGCAACCTTATGCGTAGTGTGCAGTTGCCAGTTGGTGAGCTCTCTGAAGGTGCGTCTCTGTTGCTGTCTCACGTGCATGAGGAGTAGACTCTCTTCGGAATTACAACCGGATTTATCGGGAACACGGGGTGGCGGAACAGCAAATGATGCAGTCTACTATCTGACCGGAAAAGTTCCGACCGCGTTAAGACTTGTCGAAGTCATATTGGACGTAGGATTGTTTCGAACGCGTCCCAGGAGCAATTCCAACATGTATTTATCGAGCCGGTTGTAGAAGCTTCCTCTGGCAATTCTACCGTCTCTCAAAATGGGAAACTAGGACGTTGTAGGTGAGGAAACATTTTCGTGTAAAGACACAAAACCGTGAGTTTCTTTTCGGAATCCTAGCGGTCCTCTGAATTACCGAGGCACGGACACCCGTATAGATGCATTCTTTACTTGAAGTTCGATTTGTTAATGACTCCACTCTTCATGGCCCAGCGGGAACTCGCTGACCGGAAGGTCCTTGGTTCGAACTAGACCTCTGCTCCCGACATCATCTGTCTAGGCTTGGGCAAGCTGGCATTATCCCAACCCTCATGCTTTCTACGAGTGGCATGACAGCCAGGCACCGAAAGGGTGTTACAACTGAATTTTTCCAAGTTAGTTGTAGGTGACTGCGGGATATGTAGAATTCACGTTCATGTCACTCTCGATCGAGCAGTGCTCCCTTCAAGTTTGTTGATGTGTGTGTCACTCGAATTGGATCGGATGTTGATCCAGAAACACGTCTGATCTCGAAAGCAGTGGAGAACAGGGCAAGCGCGAAATCCGTGTGACCTGAATGGGCCAGTAAAACAGACACTCATCTTCAGGCTAAACACGGAAAGCTTCCAAATGGTAGTACAAGGATAGGGAAGAAAACGATAGAACGTGTTTAATTCCCACAGCTGACCTCCAGTAATAGAAGAAATCCAGTGCACGTGAGCACCATTGCAGTCGACAACGAATCCGGGCAATGGAATTCCAAATGGAGATTCTACCCTGTAAGTGAAGTACTGAAAAGCCGTAAATCGTCGGCAGCGCGCATCTCACGAAACTCCAACAGGAAGTTTGGAACTGGTGACCTCCTGCCTGGTAGTTTGAACACTAAACCGGTCGGCCATGAGCCGTTTCACTGACAGGACTAAATCTCCTTTAAAATAATTCCGGTGATAAAGATGTTTCGTTCTGAAAACTTCATCTCATCAAGTATGTTTGGACGAGGCCAGCTCACATGAACATTAGCTAGGAGATAGTTGAATCCAGAGATTGTTCGATGGGCAACTGACGAGTTTGGTTGAAGAATGTACTGACTTCTCGGGGCGAAGCGTACCGATTGATAAGTATGGAGCAGATGGGAGGTTCAACCAACATATCTTTAGAAATCAATAGGTATTATCATAGTATGTGCGATCCATCACGAGCTTTGTGCACCCGACTGACTTACACCGCTGAACGTGCCTCATCGCGTGTTGGATCAGGTTACAAGCAACCTCTGAAGGGAAAGTTCCACCCTCACACCCAAGTGCTCGTAACAAAGGAAACCCTCAATGAAGAAGCCATCGTGTGTGTGTGGTCTGAAAGGTAGGTGAGTGACAGCAACCTTCAAGGTCACGTGCTAGCTAATGTTAACCAATTTAGAATCGCCTAAAACTGAGTTCAGTACAACAGTGATCGACACTTTCTTGCTGCCAGATAAGATGGTGTTGTCAAGTGTAATTTGTCCACCGGATCAGTCCTGCTATGAGTGGTAATCAGTCTACACAAATATGCACCACTGAGGAGACCGGAAACACTGTCTGGTGTCAAGAACAGGTACACTCACAGACTACGCCCATGTTTTCCGAGCTACTTCTGGAGGGTTGTCGCCTAGTCTGAGAGGGTTGTCACACTTGGAGGGACATAGTAACCCACAATTGCCATAAAACGTTAATCCAAAACCGGAAATGAGTGGAATGTGATTCGTCCGTTTAAAACTTGAGACGGGCGTGCAACTGCCCGAGTGGGGAAACCTAGTCTGGATTGCAGCCGACCACATCATCCCGTTTCCTCAAAAGTTGACACACACATAGAAGACGTCAGTTCAGTTTTCCCAGGTTCGTCTTCCGGGAGCAGAAGGGCTATCCATCCACCGCCAGGTCAAAGAAATTGGCAAAGGAATTTAAGTAATAAACTCACTACTTAGTTAGTAGTATAGATATTAAACTACTTTGTTTATTCCCACCCATTCTTCACAAAGCAAGTTCACCAGCACAGGTAGAAACAAGTACTCAGATACAGTATCATGTAAGTATGATAGTCACTCAACTGTAGCATCCCTTTCGGTGTCTAGCTGCGGTACCGCCTGGAGAAAGCACGAGAGTGGAACCGCTGCCCAAAGCCAAACAGAAGCTGTCGAGATATTCAGCGGTTGAGTTTGAACCATGAACTTTCTGGTCAATAATTTTGGGCCAGTGAACTAGCTCGCGTTCAGTACGCAAAACAAAAGGTCGAATGGGGTTTGGACTTTTGCAGAATCGAGGCTAAACACCCGTATACATGGTCGTTGGCTTGTTCGCCGAGCTGAGCAATTTGGTTGCAAACGTTTCATCACCAATCGAGGTGACACCCTCAATGCATAGTTGTGCGTAGCGGTGGGTTAGTGGTTGTGCATTCAGTAGTGTTACGTGTGTGTTGATATACGTGCTGGTAGCCGGGGATGACCTTTGACCGCGATTAGTTATTCGGTCGGGCGGTTCCATTGGTCGTTCTTTTATCCCGTGTCCTCATTCACCGATGCCCACGCGACCTTTGAAGTTAGCATACGTCGACGTCGTAGTCTGGTCGATGTTGGAGTGACTTTTGTCCTTCTGAGTTCGTGCTTGTGACCTTTATTGATTTGACTCCGAGGAGTTCCTTGTTTCTTCGTTTGTGAATCCAGTATTCGGTCCCCCTTGAGGGTTCCGGTCGCAATGTTGGTCTTTTGCACATTGACACAACCAAACGAATTTTCTNTCGTATAGCGAACCAACTGAAGTGTTGCCACGCAGACCAGTTGTGCGACCTTACCAGGTTGAATGACGCGGAATGCGAGAATATAACTCAAGAGGTTGCTCGAGGAGAGTGCCAGTAGCGGAGTGAAGCAACCCTAGAGCGCGTAACGCCTACGGGTGAAACATAATCACTGTAAAAGCAAGTACCGGCTGGGCTTTCCTCAAGACTATTGAAGTGCAGACGGAGTCATTCCTCCAGGTACTTATGTTAGATCGGATCTGAATCTGTCTAAGAACGGGTAGGATTATAGTGGTCATGCTCGCGAAAAGCCTGGAAGACCAATCGGAACCCACTGAGTGTCCACTTCAAACAGAGAGAGCGGACAATATTGGTTTTGTCACGCAAGGTGGGACCATTAAAGAAGGAATTGCTAACATATGAGGATTTCTTCGTGTTCCACGACAAACTAAATCAGAGTAAGACGGATCAAACGTAGGCCAGCAATCGTTGCATTTCTGCCTTGTGTGTACCCACTGGCAAGTGATAAAAAGCGATACTACTTGGAAAATATCAGTAGATCAAAACTCGTGGTCGACTTATCAAAAGGGTTGACTGAGCATTGCTCATTAGCCATGCTCAATGACCAAAAACTGTTAAGACCGGTAGGTAAGAAGGTCTAGTTGTTTCACTTTCAGTAACCCTTCCCATAACTAGAGAGATCAAATATGGCGTACTGTAAACGATCGATACTGGCACACCAGTATGTCGACGCATACACAGAGGATAAGATCTAAAGTTTGGTGAAAGACAAGCTTGGTTGAGTTCGATCCACTAACCGTGGGCCATGAACAGTTGCACATTCGTTCAAGTTGCAACAGCATCCAGTGCAGGTGAGAAGTGACGGGTGAAAAACCCTCCAAAGGTGCGTTCCAAAGGTGTATGCAAAGATGTTACTTTCCGGCTGCCATGGTTGAATAAGAGGGCTTATTTTAGGCACCACATCTTGAGTCATTGTCGAAAAGCTCACGTCGAAAGGGCTTTGGATAATTGTCCAGAGATCCTTACAGGAACCTTGGCTTTGGGGTCTACCCTGCCTTGCTCGAGGGCATAAAATTTTGAATCCAAATATTGCTACAAACCTGCCTCGAGCCATAAAATTTTGAATCCAAATATTGCTACAAACAGAAGACGCGTTTGAATCGGCATCAAAATCTTGCTTTAGATGATCCAAAACAGTCTGTGGTAGCCATTCCACTTTCATAACTATTGAAACTTGGTTGCCTGAAGTGGACATTTCATTTTTCTCACTTCCCCGTTGCAACTGGCAACCTCAGGTTACCTCGTACTACGACCTATCACTGCCCCTCGTCGGTCTGCTCACCGTATTTCTTCCTGACGTAGGTGAACCTCAAAGCACGTGGTGTAGTTCACAGAATTAATACGGTACCGAAGTTCAACCATTGAGATTAAATTCCTGCTCTTGGCAGGGCAGGTGAGAGGTGGGCTAACTCACGCTTAGTCAAAAAGATGTTTAAAGCAAAACGGAACTTGAGTCACACTGATACCTGCTGAAAAAATCGTTCATCTGTAACACCCTTTGGATGCCTAGGTGCCATGCTACCTGAAGGAAGCATGACAGCGAGGATGCTGCTGGGTTACCCAAGCCTAGACAGGGGGAGTGTGGAGGCAGAGGTCGGGTTCGAACCCCGGACCTTCTGGTCTGTAAATTCGCGCTCTAACCACTGGGCCATATCACCCCCTATATGTTCTGCAGGATCGCATTAACTGCGATTGCACGTACCTCCGCTCGGAGGTAACTTTGGCATTGAAAATCAATCCAACAGTCAGGTTTTCGTTGTGTCGTCTAAGCTATTGGATACGTCATTCCTTGACTAGTCGGCTTGCGGATCTGGTTAGGGCGTTTCCACGTCTCTCGAAAATCGTCGGACCGAAAAAAACAATCTCTGATCTATTATTCATGAAAGGCGCTTGTCCAACTGAACAAGCCAGGCATTGTCTTTACGCGACGGCGCAAGCGGGAAAATGCACCTATCTATGCAGACCGTCGTTGGAATTCTAGATTTCTGGAGCCGAAATTCATAGCATCTATTCCACCAAACCAAATTTTCGTACTATTAACCAACGAAGGTCACTGATTTGCAAACAACACACGAGGGCTCTGTTTCCATGATGAACGAGACTTTGAACCCGACTCAAATTCACGTGGATTTCCGCCCGCCCACAAGCCTATTCTGTCCCAGCACTTGGTGACACATCGTTCTGGCGATACCCAACACTGATGAAGCCCGGAAACGCCTCGGTGACTGGTTCCCAGCCCACTCAATTAGAATGAGACCAATCAGAAATGAATCCACCAATTGTTATCCGTGAATCGATACCATTGGTGTGATTCACATCCGAAATGCGAACGCAGACTGTTAAGTAACGCTACCGTACCGATTCGTTTAGTCATTTAAACCATTTCAGCGACTTTGTCCCAACTATCGATTTCCTAGTCCCGTCTGAAAAATGACATCCCGCTAGCGCACAAGTACTGTTCTACGCCTTTACAGTCCCGGTTATTCCTAAACCAAACTTTGTCCCGACTATCGATTTCCTACTCCCGTCTGAAAAATGACATCGCTCTCGCACGCAAGTACCGTTCTACGCCTTTACAGTCGCGGTTATCCCATGTCGACGAGAAGGCTATTTGACAACAAATTAATGGGTTCCTAGGCGACGGTACATACTACTGGCATTGCCTATAAGTAGTTAGTGGCACCAAGTTTTTTGTTAACTACTGTCAGCATCATTTTTTTCTCGCGCCTTCACTCACCCGCCTTCTATAACGATCCGTACGGCTGTTTTTAAGTGGGAGTTGTGTTAACGCGTCCGTCTTTGAGTTTGCCGGCGATCGTGTATCCTTCGACTACGTGGTACCTGCGCCAACCATTTTTAAAAGATGCGATCGATAACACAAAAATAGAGAAAAAAGGAGCACAGACTACCCACAAACCCCGTCAGTAGTATGTGCACTGCATGGTAATCTTAAACGCGAGAGCAAGGAAAGATTTAAGGGCTACAGTCTGGCCAGTTTGTGTTTACACTGAAATTAATAGAACAGATTCAGCCCAAATAAAACTCGGCGATGTTTGCCACAAAGTAGGCCAAACCGATCAGCTTTTAGCGCAAATTTGGCGCAATGGTGGTTTAGTTCACTGAACTGGACCACACGTTTACACCCATGCGTTTTGTCAAGCTAGACGGAACGTGAGGTGTGTATTTGGTGTCCAACATGGGTGAATGCTGTGTGCCGTTCCCAAACACCAGATTCATCAATGATTTGAGTAGAAAGCGGAAACCCAACTGTCCGGAGAATCACGTGATCAGCCAGACGCCCTTCCGTTCAGCGAAAATATGTCCGGCAAGCAAACTGTGTTAATCTGAATTCCATGTGTAGAAACATCACCAAAGACCGCAAACAATGAGACACCTAATTCATCATTCAGCGTGACAGCCGTACAGACACAGATGTCACTGCACCGATGGCGCGTGAATATGCTAGACTACGGAACACGTAGAAAGTCACGAGGTGCGCTAAAATACCGGCTTACCTTTAGTTCAAACAAAGCTTTTTCAGTTAGCTGTCTCCTGCGCTCAGTCTGCGGACTCAGTGGCGCGAGGGTGGTACGTTCCACGATCGATTTGGTCAGCCGTTCGACTTCTTCAAGCGAGGAGGATAAATTTCCAATCTGAATTGATCGATAAATCAGATTGCAATTCAACACAAATCATAGGATAAATGAAATTCGCGACGAAAATGAACGACGTACAAATGTAGACAGATTGGAGGTACAAGCCCAAGGGAAAAATATGGTGGAACCGACTATCCAATCAAATGCGAGTGGTAGCGAATTAGTCAGCCAATGAGAAATGTCTGAGCAAGGGTGGAAGAGCTGGATGAGGTTTGTTGGTCACGCCACACCCAAAACTTCGCGTCACTGGGCCGCGCTTAGCATGTGACGGGCTCATACGCACGCACAAGGACACTAATTGTCCGCCTGTTAGCGCAGCATCGGACAGCTGCGTGTTGATGTTGTTGTAGCAACCGCGGAACTGAAGCCGCAGTGCCGATTTTGAATGTTTTTCTTCAGAGGTTTACCTAAAATTTCTAGAAAACCCGAGTTGTAGTATCACTCGACAGTTCACAGAAAACGGAATATTAGCATTTTGTTGAAATTTGTTTAAACCGTTTGATTTGGTGCGCAATTCAATGTCAGACCCAAACTGGAAGCTGCGGACCTCCTAAGTGATGTGTATTCATGTATTTTATTGCATCCAACACTTTGGAGGGAACTCAAATTACGAGTATGTTATACGATATCTCCATCCACGCCCACACAACGTGAAGCCATTGTTGTGTGAATTTTCGCACATCACTGACAAGTAACCTTGTAGCATTATGCTTAGTTTTTGATGCCTGTGGACCAATCGTTTAAGGGGCCTCAAGCGTCAACGTGCATTGGCGGGCATGAAAAGGCATGCATCAATGCCAGCAGATGCCAGCACTGTACTTAACATGTGACGGGCTCATAAGGCACGCACGAGGACACAAACTTTACTAAGCTGCTTGTGGAAACCTAGTAAAACGTACCAAGTAAGCGACAAAACCGAGAGTTCTCCGTGCTCTGGAACCGCTTCGTTACGTTCAACAATCCTGTCTAAAAAGCACCGGGACTAATTATGAGCTACTGATAAAATTCAAGTAGTTAAATAATAATTCATTTCTGATAGGGTAGCGCTGCTCCATATGTTGCCTTCATATCCTGCGCCTGGAAACCGCTTTATTTGGCTATGGAAAGTAGGCTGTCTCATGCTACCAATTAGCGGCCGTTACATCACTATAAACGTATGGTACCAAATATCCTGCGCATAAAACTTTTCAAGGAGATCCCAACACAGTACGTTGGCAGCGGCGACATCATATTGGGGCGGGAGGGGTCCAGGTAAAAATGCTCCGCTCCCATTGGCCTATAGTCCGACCAATCAGAGAACGACCTTTTCTAGTCCGTAGCCGGTTCGCGATAGGTCCGCTTAATCGATGTGACATTCTGTTACTTCGGGTTTCTCGCAGCTCAGAATCTTCCAAAGAAGGTTGCAATATTCGAGCCATTGGTTTTACTTGTGAATCACCGACGCGGACGCAGCTCGGAAGTTCTAAAGACCTATGGACGGGGTGAGAATAAGTAGCGAACACTTGAATGTTGAAGTCACGGTTTCTTGGTCTAGGATGAAACACGAGTCACTCTAAACTAGAAGATGCATGCTCACATTGGCAGTAAGTTGGCATTTTGCAGAACTTCCTCGGAAACTAACTACAATGAACCACCCGACGAGCTGTTTCCATGACATCAAACAGTAGTCACTCCAGAGAGGTGGCGTCCTTTTGAATAGGGCCATCCTCTGAGAGAGGAATGCCGTAGATCGAATAGGCTTCCTGTTGGGCCACCGCCCTTGGCTGTTGCAAATGGCAACCTCAACCAAAACAGAGGAAGCAGTCAGCTTTTAGGTGAACCGACAGTGCCAGGGATTCACGACCGTTAAAAACCCCCATTTTCAGCGGACTCGAAGAGCCGGTCAATACATGACCCCGTGATTTGGTTTTATGGTACTGAAGGACGAGTTGCGCCATGCCCTGTCTTGGTGAAAGTTAATCATACTGCTGGTCAGCCAATCTTAACCAAACGGTTGCCTGTTCAACCACCGGTCGGACAATGGTGGGTTCAAAGTTCTATGGTCTTCGTGAGATGCGCAGTGCTGACAATTCTCAGCAAGGATGAATCAGATGTACACTGCCTATCGATTTTTCGGCAAAGATTGACTTCACTGATGGAATCTCCACTGAATATGAGCAGATCTGCTGCTGCGAACACAGACAAAATTTGAGCAAAAGACCTTTATTGAACGCGGGGCCGGATAGGCTGAAAAGTGACGCCTAGCCCTGCATTGTGGCTTTAATTGAGCTTTTCCCGGGTCGATCTAACCAAGGATGGGGCGTCGAATGCGGTAATGCTGTCTCGGTGCTCTGGATTTAATTCCTAAGAGCAATCAACATAGCGAAAAAAAGAAACACGACGGAAGATTGCATGCCTAACAGAAACAATTGAAGAAACGTCAAACAGTCGGTGGCATGCAACACCAACGCAATGGGAACATTTGGATCATTACCAGAAGAAATTGTTGCGTAGACAACAGCCCAGGACCGATTTTGTCCTCCTTGGAACTTATCAGGTGGGTGCAGCCCTCAAGTTTCCCTCAATCTTATGTTCAACTTGAACCCAAACTGGACAGATTTCGACAAATAAGCTCATTCGCATATTAATTAGGTTTTGACGGGAGACTCACTGTGATGTTCCTAAGAACATCAGCTAGGTTCTATGTGAGTTTCCCCTCAAAACCAGATCGATATGCAAACGAGTGTGATTGTGGAAAGTTTCTCGCCAATCTTTGGAAAGCTTTGCATGGATCTACTGGCTAGTTTTCCTCGTGGATTCTAAAACTTTGCGCTGCAAACAGAGAATGTATGGACGCCGTTATCCGAGGAGCATCATCAGGGGAGTATGAAACATCAGTATCTTTGTGGATGGTATGAGTGTCTAACGGAAGAGTCCTCTCCTCATTCGTCAACTTTGATTGTTCCTGTAGGATTGACAGCCGCAGAATAGAAGCGTAGTAAAACAAACACAGTTAATGTAGATTGCTGCCACTGAAAGGTTAGATCACTACTAAAAACGGCAAGCCTTGTAGAACGGGAGGCACAAGGGAGGGTGCTACCGAGCCGCCAGTATTCTGAAGCGCTCATGGAACCAAACAGGCAGGTGCCAGCCGACAGGAAGAACGATACTGCTATAGATTATCAGCCTTAGCTTGCAAACAGCATCAGTAAGGCAGCAATCCCACCGTAGTACGATTCTGGCGGTGTTAGCTGCAGGTGGGGGCAAATGTTTTGCAAAAAACACATACTACTACTTTTTCTATTAGTAGTCAAAAACGATGGGAAACATACAGCGTTGAGCGTAGTCTAACGGGTTTCGCCAATGACTTTCTAATAAGTATATATCATTCAACCAAGTAGACTGGTTGTTGGAGGAATGGTTGATCAATGATTTTTAATTGGGAGTTAATGTAATCGAATCCCTACTAACAGCGTTCTAACGGACGGCCTTGGGGTGAACGATCGACACGAGGTCGGGCAAAATGAATGCCCAATTTGGATTTAGACGATGTTTCTTATTGATCAGAATGTCTAGCCTTCCTGCTTCCGATCGGGACTGGTTAGCGATCGGATACAATCATTGAACAGCCGTGGACCATAAAATAAGTCTGAGACACGCCAATAACTCACCGGCGACGACATTTTTGGCCGCTCAACTGGAGCGGGGGAAGCAATGGAACCAGCGATTCCGCTGTCAGTGGTCGTCGGACGAAGAGGTAGTGAGTTCGGGCGTCCTGAAAGACAAAATGTCACTTGTCATCGATCTTTCACACAGTTTTTAACGCAAAATCGTAACTGCTTGTGATGACAACTGTGAACGTGGTTACGGGTGATCCCCGACTGTCTGCAACAAGAACAACAGAGAAAACGTGAGTGCCAAGGGAAAACAACGTTGTGTGTAGGTGTGAACGTTAAAACCGTGTTGGATAAAGGGAAAACAAACTTGAAAGATGTGAAATAAACTCAGTGTGCTCATAGGTGAAACAGAACAAAGAGCGTGTCTTACAGTTATACCGCCTTCGTTGATTGATTGAACGATCTAGATAAAACATGAAGGTGGCTTTGCCGGTGAATCTGTTAAGATTGTTGCCAAAACTAAAGACGAACACAATTGGCTATTTGCCGCTCAGCGAGCAACCCAAAGCTTGTTATTTCACTCGAAAATTTTTGAAAAGTCAAAAGTCTAATAGAAGCGAGAAAACCTGACTTGATGACAAGGAAAGTTGAAAAGATGCGCCATAATCTAGCCGCGTCCGTGCACTCGATAGTGCGGAGAAAAAATAAAGATTAAGACGTGAGGTCGCTTTGTCAGCTGGAGATCTTTTCAGAGACAGAAGTTGCAACCTACACCTCAAGCACTCAGGCGCTGAGGCCCCAATATGTATACTGGTTCGGTCACTTGCGCTCCCCTGTCAGTTACGTCCCATTGCCAGTTTCGATTTACCAGCGCTAGGGCAAAGAATGAATTGTATTCATACATTAGAACAACAGCGAACAGTTCTCCACGTGGTGAAAGCAATGATGAATACAGTATCACTCAGCAGGGACTGTTGTTGCGGGGGCGGGGTGTTAGAGTTGACAGCATCAGCAACCGAGGAAAGAACTGTACTTGATCATGCCTGTCGAGCATCCATAGGGCTTGAAAGCCAAAGAAAAACACGTTCCACTAATCAAGTGTAACGAAGTCGGTGAGATTCACCACCATCGTATCCATGCGTACTACTGATGAAATGCGAGTAGTGTATGGTCAGGTGTCCAGACGCTGCCCCCGAATCTGATGGAAGGCGAATGTCGGTACGGAAATTATGCAGCTTCTTTTTAGTGTTTGATTATTGTTGTTTAATATTCGAAGAGCAACCAGGAAAGTTCAAGTGGATGGTTGGAAATGTACACTTTCAACAACTTCGTGAGAGTTTTACTTCCGTGTCTAATGTTCTATAACGGCCCAATTCGTGTGCCGCGATCGGCAACTCCGCGCTGAAGGGGACGTTTCTTCTTTCATCAGGAGAGCGAGGGCCGTTTAGTGGCGGATGGATGTATATAGAGGAGGCGGGCATGATTCAAAACTACACAGATTGGAGGTGAGTAAAACACATGTTGATCAAACCAATCTACAGGAACTTACCAGCATGTTGGAACTGATTTACAGTCCGTTGTTCCACATCCAACGAGGAGAAGAACTTTGGTGAAGGCAACAGCTGGATAAACAAACAGACAATCAAACATAATTTGTTCATCGGACGGCTTTCGCGGTCACAATAATCTCCAAAAAGTTCACGGAAACGATTGATGATGTACCGACAGGGTACCGAGGAAAGCCACATCGGGACCGAATAAACTCGTCGATCATTTCGCATTCGATGATCGTCCCCATTACGTGTGGGGAAGCCTCCAAGAAAATTACCATACTTTCAGAGCCCTCTGGACTGACTAAGTAACTCATTGTGAAAGTTTTATCGCTGGTTTCTCACGTGACACCATATCCGCACATTGTCATCAAGCAATGAAGTGAACTACTTTCAACATGTGAGTAGTAAAGCAGTCTCTTAATAAATCCTGCTGGGCAGGAGAGAAAATTAGGCAGATGCAGAGACCTCCGAGACAGAGACCTTGATTGGGTGAAGCAACACTCCAGAACAGTTCAAAGCAATCAATACCCGTCAGGAATCTGTCAATAAATCAATCAATCACCGTCTCTAGAGGGTCTACATTGCTGTTCCCCGAATCCCACGACAAGTACAACAATAAAATACAAATGCCTGGGGGATCGGACAGTCATTTTGAAGCAGTTAGCGTTAGGAATCACGCAGAAACACCGGTGGTTTCCAGGATACCCAGGAACCTAGATAGACTGTGCTAACTACTCGCTGGCAGTAACACAGACTGGTGGAAACTCCTGTTCTCTTCGAGGCTGATAAAAGGGAGAAGGCAGCATAAAAAAGCATTCTACACCAAGGAAAACGATCAGTAACAAGGAACAACAACGTCCGAAAGTCTCGCTGGAAAAGAATGCCTCAGTAGGCGCAATATCCCTTGTGAACTTTACGCAACCTGATGGTTGTCGGTCACTGTTCAAACGAGAGATCGGAAAGAAAACACACGTCTGACCAACCAGTAATTCATTGTCCGAAGGCAATAACCCTAAACTGATAGTGCATTCGAACGCCTAGTTTCGAATAGACTCATGATCAATTGGTTAAGGCCTTTACGTTGATACGACATTGAGACCTGGGGTTGTCAAAAGGGACTGGACGATGATCTGTGTTGCTCCGTAACTCACAACTGAATAATACGGGGGAGGGGGGGTGTACATGCGACACTCGCAGGGTCTCCCACATCTGGTTACTCAACGGTTAGAGGTCTCAGCAACACAGTCTCCTAGTCCTGCAGTTTGGAGTAAAAAAGAACATATGTGGCGACTTGTTCTTTAAAAAAATGAGGATGTACTAAAATTTCTCCCCAAGCACCGCTATCTTGTTGTCAGATTTCTGAGCCCAAGGCATCGACTGATGACCGTTTCCAGATGTAAGTCCAAGATTAGCTTACGCACAACGTGATTTCCGAGACTAAAAATGCCGTCATTTCGCACTGGTCATCGCGTGGTGGTCCCCTTATTTGCTGCATACGCCTACGGGGGGTTAGCGAAGAGAAGTTTCCCTTAACTATCTTTCAATGGTTTCTATCTGTCACCCCGAACACATTAATCACACTCTTGTTGCAAGACCTTCCATTAGAACTGACGACCCCGTTCGTCTAGGATCCTTCATGGCCACGATAGCCGGGGCCAACAGCTTCAGACATGTGGTGAATAATTGGTAGCTCGGGTGGATTTATTGGTTGTTGATCAGGTGGCTGTTGATCTATTCGCCGAGCTTGGCAATTGGCTTGCAAACGTTTCGTCACCATAAGAGGAGACGTCATCAGTGCGCAGCCGGGTGGGTACTTCTTCCCTGCCTGCGTGTTTTTATATAGCAGTCAAAGGCTATCTGTTATCTTCTGACGTGATTGGCTACCTGAAGTGTACCGAATTTAGTGAATCCATTGGTCCGTTTGTGATCTTTGTTGCGTTGTGGTCTGTGTTCCTTTGTGTTGATTGGTTATTACAACGGCTTCTAATTTTAGTAGGTTGTTCTCCCTGGCCATGATTCGCATTGCGTTGTGGTCTGCCGTTCTCAAGTTTGATTGGTTGCTTGTACCGCCCTATTTCCTCCACCGTGGCGGTTAATGTCCCTGCGTCCGCCGGTTGATTTGGTGCTTTGATTGGGCGCCTCCTCCAATCCAATTGATGTGTCCGTTTGAATGACGCTTTCTTGCCTCTTGTATGAGTTCCTCGTATGGTCGCTTTTGCAGCTCTAAGTTCTGTGGTTTTGTCGTTCTCTCGCTCTTAGAGGCTGGTAAATGGGATCAATTTCGATGCGTTTGTTGATGGCTTCTTCGGTGGAGTACCACGCCTCCATAAATTTGCGTTCTCGTTTTGTTCTTGCTTGAGCCAGTTTGCGAACGCCGTTCCAGTCGAACTCGTGTCCTTCTTGGTCTTTGTGTGCGGAGATGGGGGAGAATTGATTGCTTCTTTTAGTGGCGAGTTTGTCTTCATGTATTCTGGTGGAGGGCTTCCTTCCTGTTTGTCCTACGTACCGTTTGTCGCAGTCCTTGCATTGGACCTTGTATATGACATTGTTCTTCGCCATTGGAGCTAACTTCTCCTTTGGTCTTGATAGTGTCCTCCGCAGAGTATTCGCAGGCTTGTAGGCGACCATTGTATTGTGCTGTCGTGGGAGCCTTGCCGCCATTTCGTCGGTGTTCTTAATGTACGGAAGTGTGACACGTTTGCTTGCAGTTTGTCTTGTTGCATCGATCGTATTTGGGTTCCTGAGTGTTCTCCAAATGAAATTCCTCGGGTATCCATTTCTATGAAACAATTTATATAGGCGCTTTTCTTCTTTGATCTTGGATTCTGTTGTACTGCAGTGTGTCTCGATCCGCTTGGGAAGTGTCCGAATGCAGCTTGAATCCGTCATGGCCGCAAATTCTTCGCGTCAGCCGGCGCTAACAGCTTCAGACATTTTGCGAGTCCGCGATGATAAGGAAACCTAAAAGTACTTCGGATTTTTTCCCCGGAAAGCAACCTGCTACGCAAAAACCGACAACCGAAGAGTGGAGATTTATAAAACAATCTTTTGAATGCGCTCCGTCAATCCCGTATAACAACGTGTTTGCAACTAATTCGTACTGGAAACCTCGAAACAGTGGACTCCCAGCAAATTCCAGATCCTCTCCGTAGGGAAATATCCGTTCCGGCCGAACTACCCCAGTGATCAGCATCAAACGAGCCCGCTCGACATGGTGACTGAAGCACAACGACCGAGTTATGCTCATCAAAAACTGGGAAAGATACGATGAGCAACCGTGAGTACTTGGTTGAACGCAACTGGTGTAACGGTGATACTACTGATGGGAAGGCATGCGAGTAGTATGTTTTCTCGCAAATCCGCTTTGCGTCTCTTGAAAAGTGAGATCTTTCAAGGAATTTGTGGAGTAGAATTTGCGTGAATTCGAGCAACAGTTAATGAATATCTAGGAAAGTTCAGGAAGACGCGTTCATGGAGAAAATGAATTTTCAGTCTTTGTAAATAAGATGCAAATGAGATTTTTGCTTCCCTGTCCAACAGTCTGTAACCGTTCAGTTGGCATTTTCTAACAAATAAATTCGCAGCGAAGGCCTTCTTCCTTTCACCGGTATCCCCTCTACAGCGCAGCAGTTACCCAACAAACTGTCAGTCACTCGCTGGTGCGGGACGGCACCACCGGAAAACCATGGTTGCCAAGGCAGTCATGGCTGGCAATATTCTGTGATGCATACATGGTCAACCTAGCCTACTAAAAGTCCCGTTTTGAGGCCTAAAACCATTCCACGCTATTCAGGAACCGGTGTGTCTGAAATTTAGTTCAGTCTAAGACCTTAATGTCGGTATATCAACTCTCCCCCCGCCGTTCAAACATCCGTCAGTATGTGAGATGGTTCAAGTGGTTAGAGAGCGAATTTACTGACCGGAAGGTCCGTGGTTCAAACCCGACCTCTGCCTCTAGACTTTCCATGTCTAGGCTTGGGCAACCTGGCAGTATCCCAGCCATCGTGTTTCCTTCGGGTGGAATGGCAGCTAGGCCTCGGAAGTATGTTACAGCTGAACGACCAGTATGTGAAGCCGAACAGTGCGCTAGCAGGAAACGGCATTTCCACTGATCGCGCAGTCTAATAAATCGTTTCCGAACGTCAATTACCATGCACAGTTTGAAATAAATTAGTGATGAAATGTGCACACGGCGATCGATAGCAGTGTGATACGATCAGACCGGAAGTTAGACCACCCGAGTGAGGACAAATAGTCAGGTTGGCAGGGTTGAACGATGTGATCCGACACTGGCTTAAATTAACTACTGAATTCAAGTGAGAGATAACGGTTTACTTTTGGATTCTCTGAGAGTGAAATGCGGAACGGGCAGTTGACTTGGTTAGAAGCTCCAAGCGACAGTTCCGTATTCCAGTGGCGAAACAACAGTAGGCCATTCTCTATGAAAACGATTCGAGATAACTAATCAGCCGGAACTCCCATGGTTCGAACCCAACCCCGAGCATTTCGACTGTTCCTGTCTAGTCTTCGGAAACCTGACGGTATCTCAGCATTCATGCTTCCTTCGGGTGGCCTGGTAGTTACGGTCCAGAGCGTCCTTGGTTCGAGCCCAACCCCGGCAGTTCGACTGTTCCGCTAAGGTCGGAATAGCTCTGACGATCTGCCGAAATAGAGGGTGGTATAAACTGGCAGCGTCACATTGATCTTTGGAGGTGGCAACCATGGAGACGGTCAGTAGAGCGGCGCGATTTGCGAACAGTCACCCCAAACCCCTTCGGACTAGACAGAGAATTTCACTCCTCTCCTAGATCTGACGGTAAATGTAATTCAAATGGTTAGCGATGATGAAAACGTGGGGATATCGTCAAAATCAAACTACCTCTCTCACATAATATTCCTTCATTTCGAGCTTTTTCTTTAATCCGGACTCCCTAAAAGTGCTTACGAGCATTCCTCTGACAAACGGGGATGGGGACAGTCAGAAACGATAAAAAGTCCTTCCACGGAACAAGGCAAATAAATTCGGTAGCCCCAACTCACATTGTTGGGATGAATTACAACCCGTTGGGCACAACCGGACCCCGCTCTCGTCAGCTGACCGTCCAAAGAGGCCGGCTTGAATAACGATTGCAGTGGACCACCTGTACGTTGTTCCTCTTCCGGCGATTTCCCTGCAATCACCGATGTTTGTCCCTCAGGCGCCCACCGTGTACGACAGCGTCCCACGTACGGGTGATCCCCAGTGGCTTCAATCTACAAACACAGCAAAAATGAAACGACACAAACTGAAAATAGGTTAAAAGCAGTCCGAGGATAGGTGAGTTTCAGAAATTACGCTCACCAATCTGAAGTTAATTTTGGCATCATCAGCGTCACCATCCTCTTCATCGACAGTATAACATCAGAGTTGAACACTGATGCTTCATTGCCGTGTGTGACCCTTTTGGATGGACAATTCATGATTGTAGGTGGGCTGAGATACTGCCAGAGTGCTCACACCTGGACAGGAGGACAGTTAGGGCCCTCAACCAAAGCCTGACCTGAAGGCAGCGAGCGATGTTTGGGGGGTAGACGCAAGTGCATACCCATTTTCACAGAACAAGCCGCCACAATCTAGAGGACCAGGAGACCGTGTTGGTCAGTTCTCTAACAACGGACCTACCTGATATGAGGGACTCTGTCGCACGGACATTCCCAGTAAAACCCAGTGGGCCATGGCGGCACACAGACCCTCACACTCTGTTCTTGACGTTCATCTTGTAAGTAAGGACAAGCTACCTAGGCTTCAAACACTTCGTAAGCAGTTCAGTCTCTGTTGGGGTCACCAACAGTATCTGGGTAGGATAGTCCCTGGATAACAGTTTGAACACTTTCACTCAGCTGCGAGTAATTGATCAGCGATGTGCTCAGCTTGAATTCGGACAAAAGGTGATGTTATTTAGCTTGTATGATATGATCCGGTGTTTACTGACTCGCACAGTATTGTGCATACCGAATCATCATTTGCCGAATGGAGTGCGGTTCTTGGTACACAACTCAGGTTGACGTAAACAGAGAGGTGGCCATTATTTGGCCTGATAGAGAGGCGTGATAGGGACAACGAAAAGTTTGGGTGCTGCCGGCGCGAATCACCCTCCAGGATGGGAATCACGTGATCCACGTTGTGCTTGGTTGGATACGATGCACAACAAGGCTGGTAATCGATGTCAGTGGCATTCTTGTTGTCGGTTTGTATCCATATTGGCTGAATGAGTGTTCAGAGGTGTTGGAATGATTGTGGTGGGCTGGTACCAAGACCATTCCCCGTCCACTTTTGTTCTGACCCTCGCAAAATTCACTTTCCAGGTTTGTTTGACGTTGGGAAATTCTAGAATGCATCCATTTGTTCGACCTATTATCTCCAGCAAGGATTATCCTTGAGGAACTCGAAAAGGGGTAAGGTATTACTCTTCTCTGAGCTATCTCTAAGTAAGAGAAAGCAGCGGGACAATGAATAAACAACTCTGACATGAGGGTTGTTGGTTGGATGAATACAGTCCAAATAAACATGACGCAGATGGGTTCGTGATTCCAGCAGAGTAATATCCAAGTTGCATGTTCGCATGATTATTGTTCAAACTATTGTTTAAATTAGTCGTGCAACTCTGTCGGTTTTTGGCTACCTCCACCCACTATAGTATATCAAAAGACACGGTGAAATCAGACAGCCCCATGTGGAGATTATTACAACTGTATTTATACGGTAATCACAAAATATTCCACAATGTCGTGCTGTGAGGGGAAGAGAAGCGTCGAGCTAATGATGCTCGATCCTGATTGGCTGGCGTCCCGACCAATCAGGGAATGCGGTAGTCCGCACGTGACCGCTCAATTGATGTGATGTTCGGCTAGTACGGACGGCTTGCCTCCGAACAGTGATACAACTAATTCTGTCAACATCTCAGGGCAGAAGAGATATTGCTGCAACCACCGTAAAACGTGGGTTGTTTTGAACTCAAGGTATGTGTACGTCTAGATCAATTTACAGCGGGAGACCATACTTGGTACTCTGGTATGTTCTTGTTGTTCGAACACGAAGTAACATCCAAAAACACAAACCACGTGGAAAAGATGATTTCAAAACCACTGGAACTGGGTCGAATCTCAGTCGAAGCTCTTGTTTATACGATCCTTCAAGTGAATGTGCTTCACGAAAGTCATCTCATGTTTTATTTGGTGCGATATTCGAAAGTTCTTTGTGGTTGTTGAAAGATTTTCGGCAGCCCACGACTAGTTCGACCGTACTTGGAGATCATTAGTTCCCTTTCCACTTGAGTACAAAATGTAAAAACTTCGCGACTCATTTGCATACCAATGTGAGCTTATTTTTCACATTGTTCAGCTCTGTAAGTGATGAGTAAGGGCTACTACCCACCTTAAACCTGTGTAGAAAATTCCAGTAGGCAAAACGACTTTGATGAGGATTTTGTGGAGGTGATATTAAGTCGTCTCCGGAAATGATTCTGGCACACAGTAGACTCCCGTCGCCAGGTTGTGTGCGTAGAAATCCCATCTCAAACAGACTGGACTACGGGTTGATGCGACGGTTTGTGAATCTCTATGGCCCATTAAGCTACGCTTTGAAATGTCTGCTTGTGACGCCTACAGAGTTTGGGATAGAGGGCTGAATAACAGTCTCATGGCCGTCCAGGTTTGGGGATCAAACATGACGGTAACGATGGACAGCTCCGGGAAACATGAAACAAACTTTGACGGTATAGATTAACAGGAACAGACATTGAACAACAACAGTTTAACGAAGACTGATTTGCAAATGAGTGCATTTGTCACATGGGCGAAGCGTGGGCTATCGAAGAGTCTTCAGCAACCTTGTGAGTAGTTTCCTTTATGAAAATATAATGCGATATCTCGAATATCGTGTCGTGCGAATCATGAGGTGGCCTGTGTGCAGCACATTCAGCTGGAGGACATCATAAACGAGAGATTCAATTGAGTCTCTCGTGAAAACCAAATTGATTTGCAAATGAGTGTATTTCGCGAGAATACTGAGGGCTTATCAATAGAAAAGTTGCCAGTGCGTGGTGAGTAGTCATTCAGTAAGCTACGAGACAGTCGTAAAATTGTTCTGACAGATTTGAGAGCTTCATAAGTAGACAGGGAGTGTTAAGAGATGTGACTTTTAGCTCATGGACACAGTATCTCTGCTCGGAGAGTTCAACGAAATCAAGACACGTTTCGTGGAAGCTCTCTGTTAGTCCCTGTTGAATCGTTGCCTTATTGGTAAGTAGGAGA